CTTCAACAAGGTTCTCCAGAGCGCAGGGCACTGCCTTGTGCACAGACCCTGTAGGAGGTGCAACCACGGCAGGCAGGCAGCATCACACCTCGCTGCAGCTTTTTATGGTACAAGACAGCAACACCTCTGTAGCAGCAGGAGGAAAGGCCTGGCCTGTTGCAGCAGCGTCAGCCTAGGCCCATTCCCTACAGAGCCAGGAGCCAATTCAGCTGGGAGAGCTCCACACTCTACAAAACACCCAGCAGAAGAGCTGGCTTCACAGTTCCCTTTGAAAAGAAGGGACTGTAAGTCAAGGTCCTAATTGTGCAAGTGAAAATACACAGGTTTTTATTTATATAGGTTTTATATATTTTGTGTTTAAGATTTTTCATTATAAAGATAACCTTTCTCCTCTCTAACTTTTTCAGGGTGCGAAACGGCAATTTTATTCCCAATGCGTTCGAAAAAGATTTTTGGGAGCGTTCACCCAACTGCTGCCATGACGCTCTGCTCCTTCACCGCCTGCATTTGGATCAAAGTGACCGAGGCTTTGGACAAAACCATTCTCTTCTCCTACGGAACAAAGATGAATCCATATGAAATCCAGCTTTATCTCAGCCGGGGCTCTGCAGTGCTTGCTGTAGGCAGTAACCAGCACAAGGTGACTGTTGAAAATGTGGTTGTTCCTGGAAAGTGGATTCATCTTTGTGGCACCTGGAGCTCTGGAAACGGAACTGCAACGTTGTGGGTAAACGGGGAGCTCGTGGCTGCCACCTCCGACATCGCTGACGCTCACACGATCCCCGACGGAGGAATTCTGCAGCTCGGCCAAGAAAAGAATGGCTGCTGCGTTGGAGGTGGATTTGATGAAGCTTTGGCCTTCTCAGGCAAATTAACTGGCTTTAATATGTGGGACAGAGTCCTGAGTGATGAAGAGATAGCCGTGCAGAGCGGAGAAGATGCCTGCAGCATCAGGGGCAATATCGTTGGGTGGGGAGTCACTGAAGTTTTGCCATATGGAGGAGCTCAGTATGTTTCCTAAAAACTGACAAAGTAGATTCTGAACCAAAGAACATAGTTAACTACGAACAGAATCCCAATATATACAAGTACACAGAGCCTTAGGAGCCCGAGTCTCCGGTTCCCACAGAAGATTAGCATTGTAAGTTCACCAGATGAGGTACAGTGGAGATGGGATTTGATCTCTGCCTGCTGTTTTGGCAAAACACTGAAAAAATACATCAAGGAATGACCTTGGAAAAGCTGTTCCTGAGGTCAGACAACTGCTGGCTCCGAGTGCTTTGAGATTTATAGAGATGAGAGCCACTGTGGACAGTTCAGGGCAGAATTTTGGCCCCTCAAGGCCATGCTGGAGGGCTGTGCCGCTCCCCACGCACCAGGCGTGAGTCCTGTGCATCCTCCGCACTCCTCCTGCCCCCCGTTTTCATAGAGCTCAACCAGTTGTGCAGATGAACCGTGTAGGCCAACAAGTGTGTTGTTTATTAATCATTAGCAATTTGTAGACTATAATAAAACTAGTTCCTCGTTTGAAACTTTATTTATGCCAAGGGGTGATCTAACATATAAGAGTAATATTCTCCATAATAACCTGATGTTACATTTTGAGAAAAAGGCAGCTGTATTATATTGTAAATGCACTTGGTAATAATTTTATTGAAATTATTTTTGTAAAGTTGTTCTGTAAATAAAGAAACTTTACTAAACTAACACTTTCTGCCCTTTTCATGAAGTAGAACTTGGAAAATAAGTACAAGCTTGGAGCCTTTCTTTTTTTCTTTTAAACACCTGTTCCTAGTTACTAATAGAAAAAGAATATGAAGAATAAAAAAATATTTCATACAAACGGAGAGACTCTCAGAGGACTGATATCCAAGCACTGTTCCCTCTCGTGAATGCTGCCCTATGGAAGAATCTACCGCTCGCAGACTTCTCCCCTATGGACAGGGCTGCTCCTAAAGAGGAGGACGTGTGGCAGCCTAAGGCTGCACGAGCACCGTGCTTGGAGACTAAAGGAAGGGCTCTTCCCAAGGTATCCCCAAGTAAAATCAATCAGCACCGAGTACGTGATGTTGGCCTTCCACTTATCGAGAATACAGCAGGTCTATCCTAGAAGAGCACATTCAGCTTAAACTTATGTTTGGACGTCCAAAGTAACCAGCTTTTGATACTCCCAGGAGGTCTGCACAGGACAGCAACAACAAACACAGGGTGGCTGAGCCATTCACAGATCAAACTTGAGTACTGAGAACTGCTCCTGCTTATCTAACACCCAGGCAAAAAAAGAAGGGTTGCATCTGGTACATGAGAAAGAGTCAGAGCAGGCATTGGCTGCAAACTGCCTGTAGAGAATGGAGCAGAGGTAGAGGGTGACAAATAATTAGCTGAATTTGTACCCATTTACCTGAGAATGATTCTTCACCACACCTTGAAGCTGCTGAACAATCAATCACAGTGAATGTCCTATTCAAAGCAATTCTTATTTCCCATGGAATCAGCCAGAAGATGCATCTTCAGCATTAAAACACTGATCCTTGTCAAACATTGTGCAAGGGCAACAACGCTCTCAGATCCTCTTACCCCAGATACTGCCCTCCATTAAATGAAAACAAGTCAATGTGAAATACAGCAGAACAAGCAAAATCCTCACAAGATTCTGCGAGCCCTTCCCACCTGCTTTTCTTGTGGTACCTCATAGCTGAAAGGCTTTGTCTTTGAAGCAGCCTTTGCTGTCTCCGTCCTGCTTTGGCAGGTCACCAAGCACAATTCCTGCTCTTCCATTCTCATTGATTCAACTGCCAAACAGCGTCCTTCCAGCCTCTTTGCTTTTCCTGTATCCCTAGCAAACCTTTCCCACAGTTTGGGCTCCTCCTCTCCAGCAGCACAAGTTAAGCACATGCGCAGGCTTAAGGTACCTCTAAAGACCACGCCATGACTTTGCATCTGAGCAGAAGCGTGACATCTGCTTGCACAAATGTCACTGCTTCACTGAGGATTTCCTTCTTTCCCAGGTTAGGTACTCTGGCCATTATGGTCTAGGATGTTTGGAAGGCATCAAGTAACAAGTATTTTGGGGGAGCTAGGGCTCTGAATATGGAATAGGCGGCACAACCCAACTAAAGCACCGAGAAGGTTCTTGTCCTCGAGGAACAAGCACAGAGGACAAGGACTTTGTGCTGGTCAAGCTCCCCTAGAAGATGAGGGAACCGGGGGACCCTTGCATTGGAGCAATGACTACAGGGCAGTTCTGCAGCTCTTCCCTGGAGCCCGGGATGGATCTGCCCGATCCCGTCTCCTGATGCAACTTGTCAGCACTGCACACGGGACACGGAGCTGCACACGCAGAAGCCGAGTTCACCCTAAATGGAAGGGAGTAGTTAAGCAGCCTTCCTAAAGAGCTCTTTTTTGGGCTAATAAGAAATTGATTACGCCGCCGAGCAGTTGCCCCAAGCAGTGACAAATCCAGTTAGCTCTCGGGCGCTCGCAGGCAAGGGGCCAAATTCCGCTCTCGATTTCACTAGTGCGGTTCGATGGAGCCCAGCGTGCACAAGAGCAGAACAGGGCCCTTTGTCTGCACCCTGCTCTGCAAATCCATATTTAGCAGATTATCCTCTCGCTTCCCTTCTCCCTTCAGCAAACACTTTTAGGCTTTAACCATGGTTCTTAGCTCGCTGGAAAGCAACCTTTTCATGACCGAAATATAAATTATGCAAAGTGTAATTAACCCAGTATGCAAAAAGGGGCATTTTGCCTTTCCAGAGTGCCCTTTCCTAATCTGCAATTTCCATCTCTGATGTCCATAGCAACATCTGCTGGTAGAATAATATAAATACATAAAAAGAGCAAGTAGAGGCCTAATGAAACCTTCAAACAGTTGTGGGGTTTTGCTGCTTTTTTCCCTAGACCTATGGCTATATCAAACTTGCTTCACTTCTTCCTATTGAAAGCACCGTGTTCCCAAAGGTAATGCAAAATGTTAAAAATTAAATAGCAATTTCACAAGTCTTAAAAGAATTATCTGTGTGGTTAGTAAGTTGTTAGCAAAATTCTTTCCTTGGATTCTACTCCCTCAGTATTATCACATAGCTCATACATATTTATCACACGTTTGTCCTTAAACAAAGTAGACAAAAATAAACTGTTACCACAATGTCTTGAGGAACAAATTACTTTTGAATGTAACAATCCCTCCATAAAGTGCCATAAAAAATACTTTCCAGAAAGAAAAATTAAGGAAGTACAAAATGCACGCATTTGATGTGAAGGCTTAATATCTTCAAAATGACATTCTTTAAATAGCTAGACAGCTGTTATTACACTTATTGCCATCACATCTACTCCAAAAAATAACAAGCTGTAACTGTGCTACCATAATAGGACCCTAACAAGTACTGTAAACTTACTACTTCAAATATATTTGTCTCTTCTGTGGAATTACGCATAATTGCTTTTATTTTAAAAATCATAAGAGCAAGGCTACAGAACCTAGCAACAAATTCCACTTAAAGCTAATCACATAGACAAGTGTAAAGTACAAACTACCAAGCTTTTAAATTTTACCTCAAACAGCTTTGCTACAGAACTGGCTTTATTGCATCCCCATTTAAATTCTGGAGTACTGCCAGTGATAAGAATAGAACGGGTAAGAGCTCAGTAACTAGTCTCTCATATAATAGCTTCTAATTTGAAGTCCATTAGTACCATGCATTAACACATACAGATTTCCTGCTCTTCAGATCATCTAGTCTGGAATGAAACTTCGCAGTCATCAGCATTTATTGAATTCACATTTTCCTGAAGATTCTTCCTTGATATGATCTATTATTAGATTGTGCCTGATATGTTTTACAGATAAGTCTTTACAGACATTTTATACCATCGTATAAAACATATATGCCATATTTTATGAACAATATGTATTTGTATGTCTATATATCTTACTACAGTCTACCTAACCTAATGGTTACTGCAGGACAAAATGCAAAAATCTCACTTACTCGTACCTTGAAGGACACTTTTGACAATGGCATCCGTGTGATCAGCCAGCAGATCCACTTCAGCAATCGCAGCCAACGACAGATAACTCGACATGTTTCTACACAGTTCCTTATTTCCCCTCTGAAGAAATTTCACGGCCACTGGGACAGCTAAGGCCATTACTGGAGGCCGATTGTAATTCTGTGAGAACAAGAAAGCACAAGGAAAAGTGTTTGGAAAAAAATCATTAAAGTCTCATGATGATGAGAATTGAAAAAAATATATATATATCAAGGAGGAAAAATGCAAAAAACAGATTGAGAGAGGCTATATGTTGGTAACACCACTGAAGTCAGGCTTCAAAGAAAGAGCAAAGACATTTAAAACCACTGCATCAGGATATGCTAATAACTTACCCAGAGGAGCAGAAAACATTATGATGTCAGTGTGGTAATGTTTCTAACAATAAGTTTTGTGCTTGCCATCATCACAGAAGATGGATGTGAGGGTGGCAGAGCACTGGCACAGGCTGCCCAGAGAGGCTATGGACTTTCCTTCCCTGCCGATGTTCAAAACCCACCTGGATGTGGGATGTGTTGGGCAACGCGCCCTAGGTGACCTGCTTGTGCAGGGGGTTGCACTAGATCATCTCCACAGGTTCTTTCCTACCTCAACCCTTCTGTGATTCCATGGTGACAGAAACTACACCCATCACTCGCACAGAGCAGACACTTTTTGCGGGGACACGTTTTGTACAGGATCTCCCTTCCATTTGGTCTAGCAAAAAGGTTTCCTTCTCTTGTTCGATTTGTCACTTTGTAGAAATTCAGAGCAAGGCAGGAAAATGGCCATAAAGTATGGCGAGAGTCCTAGGCCACAAATCAAAACTAAAACGCTATAGCATTGCTCACTGAATGCAAAGAAATCTTTCCAAATTGCAGTTTCATGAAGTTTTTGTGAGGTTAAATCAAAACAAGGGAAAGCACTTCTTTTTTGAAGGACAAAAGAGAGGAAAAAAGACGTCATTAACTTCGAAATCAAACCTATCCAGAGAGGTCTCTTCACTAGTTATCCTAGAAGACTTGCTCATAAAGTAATCACTTCATCACTTCATATGATCATCAATTTTCCCCTGCTAATTAAGGTTTCCTTTCTTAAATACCAGCCCATTACACTAAACTCACAGCCAGCTGAACTTTTTCTGTGTGCAGCACTGGACACAGATGAATTCAGTCTTCAAAATGGCACCAAACTTCAGTGACGCGGGGAGTATCTTTACGGACACTTTTTCATTTTTGCCATTAGGAAAGAAGCTGCCTCCTGCAGTTCCAGGTGCGTGGAACTTAACACACCGAGCACCTCTACAGCCCAGGCACCGCTGTCCTTGCAACGAGGCATGAGCAGATTGTTGGTGTGTAACTGAGCACCAAACCTCCTTAACCGCTGCTTTTCTCTCATCTCCAGTCTCTCTCGACCATCTCTTTGAAACTGGATTACATCATTGTTTTAGAAAATAATCCTGCTATATGATCGTATTTAGTTAGCATCTGAAATCACAGCAAACCACTGGGACCCAGATGTTACAGAAAACAACAAAATAGTGGAAAAAAGGCAGCTCTCATTTAACATATGAACAGCCCTGAAGAAAATGCATGTAGATCTGGGGGAAGGCTGAGCCCAAATCCCCTCAAACCCTCTTGTTCCATGTCCACCACTGCACCGCTCCCCAGGCCCTTCTGCCTCCGTCCCCAGTAGCTGCCTCTCCCATTAGCCTCACGGAGAGCAGGATTGACCCTAATTAAGGCTGCATTTTGTGCTGAGGTGGCGGGGAGGATTTTCCAGCGCAGAGACTTGCCAAGAGATGGAGCCTGCAGCAGCGCTAGCCCAGGCCCCGGCCCCGAGCAGGACTGGGCTCCAGCAAGCCCTGCGTGTCGAGAGTGTGCGTTGCAGCAGGTGTTAGATCACCAAGGACTGTCTCTTTAATGAAAAAAGCCTAAAAATGAACAGTTTTATGTAGCAGCATGCTTACATCAACATACTGCCTCATTACTACCGAGTGGCAGCCAGTTTCCAACTCCAAGTTATGCTCTAGAAATCCATATAGGGAGGACAGGAAAATAAAGCCTGGCCCTCTGACTGGGATTTAAAAGCTCTAAGAAAATTGCAAAGAATGGGATTTTTTCTCCCCCATAATAAAGATGGTAGAAGATTTAGGTAAAGAAAGATATTAATTCAGATGGAAGGATGAGTAAGGTTTCAGTCGTTCCACTATAAACATCAGGGCATGACAGCACACTTAGGAAAATGTGAAGGTGACAATGAAAAACAGATTTCAAAAATATGATATTGTGAAGTTTGCAAACCTAGGGGACTTCCCTGCTGCTATTATCAACAGCAACATGCTGCGAGATTCAACCCAGCTGTAAGATATTCATTACTTCAACTATTCCACACATCATATAAAGCCTCCGCTAACACTTTTTTTTTTTTTTTCCTCTTTTTTTAAATGCAAAGGGGCTTGCTGATAAAGCTGCATTTGACAGAGAAGTAAAGGCACATTTACAACATTCCCACTTCTTTTAAGGAAGCACCTTTCCTGACATCATCCTTCATGCAACACAATCCTGAGAAAGATCTGACTGAGAGGTGCCTCTCATTCAATGAAATAAAGCAGACAATGAAGTTGTTGAAGAAGGGAACTGAAAACCGACTATCAGGCCCTCAAAATGAAAACCATTTCCCCTCCCTCCATTCCTGCAATGGACAAACTAACATTTTTTTTGGCAAAGGAACTTTTCTCCAGATGACAACCAAAGAATTTTATAATCGCAGTGAGAATTACATTTAGGAACCTACTTTAGTCAAATATGGATGACAATTTAAAAGCAATCTTTTAAGAAGTAAATCTTCTTTAACTGGCTAAGGCCAAAGGATTGAGTTTTATGGTCGAGATCAGATTCGAGTATGGAACTTGTGTGTGTTGTATCTGGACACAGCACTTGCGATCAAAATTTTAAGGGAGACTTTCCTTACATCATTTCTGACAACCTAAATTACACATCATTAAAGATGCCAAAGAATACTCCGACTAGATATTAAGTGCTTTGCTTTGGAATAAAACTTTCTGTAGCTACAGCAAATGACAGATCTCTTCCTCCCACTAATTCTTATATGAAGTGCAAATTGCTTAGAATTAATGGTACCTCTGTACAACGAGACCTGGCACTAAACAGTCATGACATTTCCAAAGATAAGAAAATTGCCAAAACTTTTGGTTCACCACCACAGATCCACATACATGAAGTAACATATATTAACACTCGGGGTCAGCTTCCTGGTTTTAAACAAATGCAACCACTCTAAGGTGTCCTCAGAAAACAAAACATAGTTGTTTTTTTAAAAGCTAATGTTGAATGGTTGAGGTGTGAGTTATACTGCCTTGTTTTCAACTCCGTCCTACCTGCAAGATACAGCTCATGATATCAGACGCTATTTTTGAGTGTGGGGTGTCCTCGTCTCTTCCCGAAGGCCTCAGGTTGTGCTCCAGACAGGACTCCCAGAGAGCCACCAGCGCCTCGCCGTGCTTTTCTATGGACTCTGTCTCCCTGATGGCCGTGGTGATGCGAGTGATGCAGATCTCCACCACCGCCTGGTCGTTGTCATTGGTGTGGTAGTCCTGGGTCAAACAGCACATCCGCCAATGACTCTACAGTCTTTAGAGACCCAGGAAATTAAGCACAGTGATTCTGTTCCTGCAAGTGTGTTTTCTTCGCATACACCTTTTCAAAAAAGGTTTGGAGTGATGAAAACCAGAGGCTGATGATGTTGTAGATAATTCACCATTTAAAGCTTTAAATCTCAATATGAATATCAAAAAATAATTCTAAAACTAAAGAAACAATCTGTTCTCCTATAATCATATTATATGCATTTTAGCAGCCTCTGCTGGGAAGTATGGCCTTTGGCATCCAGACGTTCAAGACCTCAGAACCATTTGCACAGGCCTCTTCTCCCATAACTCTCTCCAAATTCAAATGGAAGCTGTTATATTCACACAGCCAAACGCAGGGCCCCAAACGTTTCACATCACACAGAGCCCCCGACACAAACACAATTAGGTTCAATTAGTATTAATGCAACAATGAATAAGAACTGATTAAATAGGCATTATCACAAAATCCTGTAATCCCCCAGAACTATTTACACGTACACCATGTGGCTATGAAATGGTATCACTGTGACAGAAATGGCATCAGTGAGAGATTCTAGTCCTCTCTCCTGAGAGCAAGGCCCTGAACAGACAGACACCTATGGATTAACCTATACTATACTACTCTAAAAACCAGTGACCATGAGGAGTGGGTGGAAGAAGTCGTTATTAATTTTTGCTAGTTAAAGCACAGATGATTTTAAATGGCTGTGGCCAAACTCTGCATTTGCTCACAGAAGCGGAGCCCGAGGAGCTCCCAGTGAGGCGTGAGCAGCAGTTTCACAGGACATTTCATGAAACACAGAACATGTGACATTTTGGCCTGTCTCATGAGCAATTCTCTGGCTTTATCCATGACTGACACTCTAGGAGCTTTGCTGGGTATTCCAGAAAATCCCTGTACACGTTAAAAGCATTTTCACATTTTCTTTTTTGATTATGCTGTTAAACAGGCAAACAGGCCAACACTCCCAGTTAGTTGTTGGTTGGGACAAGCTGGGAGCAGCCAACCAGGTGCAAGTGAGGAATGTTCAAAGTCCTGTCCATATTCAGTCACTGGTGCTGTTCGGACACAGAAAGGGGAATAGCCCACTCTTCACTTCTCTGAAATTCCTCACATTTGGGGAAAATATGCACCCTCCCTGTCAAAATCTAATATTACAATACTAACATTGCAACAAACAGCCCTACATTGGTTAAAAAAAAGACGAGAAAGGAAAAAAAAGTGTAACATATTTCATTGATCGTTGATGCCCTCTAGTGGGAATTACCTTTCAGGAATTTAAAAGTGCATAAAAATAATCGTCTTTGGACTGCAGCATGGTTTAGCTGTCTTATCCAAACTGGTATGTCTGTAAAAAATCTGGTAGCAAATTCAGTAGTTTTCTCTCAAACAAATACATCAGAAGGAATTCCTGCATCATCTGAGAGTCTGCAGCTAGATTAGGAGACGTACATTTGAAACAGCAGCAACCACAACCAAAATAACTTGATTAATGTTCTGAAGGATTGTGCAAATTGAATTGCTGTCAGAGAAATTACCAAAGAAAAGAATAGCCTCTGCGCAGTGACCTTACTAATGGATGATTTAGAGCTCCTGTGGCAACCAGCAACACAGTGATCAAAGCTCTGCAAATCAGAGGTTTGTATGTTGCCAAAAGTGATTTTAAAAATCACATGCTATAATGTGCCAGAAAAGTGCTGTTCTCAGAACACGGCCATGCTGCTAGTTGACTATCCCCAAGGCTTGTAAAAGTTTCCAGGTCCCTTCTGCAAAGCGCTACATATTGATATTGCATTGGTATTTGATTGCATTTGATATTGCAATCAAAGGTGGATTTGAGGCCTTTAGAAACAGCTCAGCAGGCTCAAGTCTCCTCTGCAATGTAATGCAGGCTGAGCGAAGGACTGTGCCCAAGTTACACTGTAGTTAATCTTAAGTCAAGGGCAAAACACAGGGGCAAAGAGGTGACGAGGGAGGTCAGATGAGAGCAGCTGCTGGCCTGCTCTGGCCTGGAGCTGCGGGGTGATGATAAGCCATTATCTCCACGTCCTGCACAAACCTGTATGGCATTTAACAGCCAAGAAAAACCACACACTCCTAATGTTCACCACAAAGGCCCCAATTCAGAGGCTGTATGGCCAGCCCATGTCAAACAACATCCCAGATTGAGCAAAAAGAAATATGAGCAGAAAAGGCTTTTTTCCCCCTCTAGGATGGTACTTGTAATAAACGGTAAGCTTATCATTCAGAATACTTTTTGCTGAAGTACTTACAGCAAAGGTATACCTCATAAAAAGTGCACCTGTTAAACTACTAATCTTTAAGAACTTTTATTAGTGTTTTAAAGCCTATGACAAAATACCACCTTAAAATATTTTTTTATGGAATCAGCTAGTGGGAACTCCATTTGGTAGCCACATTTTTAACCTTACATTAAGTCTTACCTTTTGATTGTCATTCTTCAGGATTTTAACGATTTAACTCATATATGCACCTGTACACAAGATGCTGCAAAATGATTGAGAAGAGTGTTCTGCTTACCACAGAGGAACTAATTATTCTTATTTGTTCGAGAGCTTCCGAGATGCTCCCTTCGATTTCGGCGTTATCCAAGGAGAAGAGGTCGCCAGCACGTGAGAGGTCCTTCTGGGCCAGGACGAGCCCGAAGAGCTGGTGCATGGCTCACGGCGGCCCGCATGGGCACCCACGCGTGCGGGTGGGCATCGAGGAGCACAGCACGCGAACGGGCCTGGGGGCCACCGGGCTGCGAGAATGTGTCTTGGGCTACTTCAAGATTTCCTTCGTCACGATCTGCAGGGGAAACAAAAATGCAGATATTGGGAAGGTACTGTAAGTACTGCCACCCTCCAGTTTGGCAAAAATTGTTAAAAGGTGCATTTCAGAGGGATATACAAACATTAAAGCTCAAACTACACGCTATGCCTTTTCCCTGGGCAGTTTTACAGCAGCAGAGCAGCAGCAGGGACCGAGGTTGGTTTAGCAGCACTGCCACGTGCAAAACACAATAGACATCAGACACCCTGGAGACCAACGGGCCCAGAGGAGGCACCTGCCTGAAGGGGGATTTAATTCTCCCACTTGCAGGGAAATGCAGTTTGGTGCTTGGGATGCCCAAGGGTTTCCTCCTGCTGCTGCGCTCGCTCCACTCCTCCCACTGCCACTGTCCCGTTCAACGTGGGCACCTCCTCTGCTATCAGCTACACCAAGAAGGATATTCCATTTTATCATTACTTGCCCTATAATGGCAAGGAGATGAATCGTATCATTTCAAGATCTCTAAAGGAGGTTATCTGCTGTTTTGCTAGTCAAAAGCTCCTTCCAAGTTAAGGTAAATGTACCTTACCCTTTATGTGGTATGCATACATAAACACACATTATACATATATTTATGACATACAAATATGTAATATTCTAAACAAAGAAGTTTCCACTTAGCTATTAGTATTTGGCTGTGTAGGAATACTAACACAAAAGACGCGTAAAACAGCTGATATAAAATTATGACATTAAGGGAGACATATGCTAAATATGATACTCATGTTTTTTCAAAAGAAAGAGATTGTTTCAAATATTATGCAGAAAAGCAGTTGCTAAATTGGATCCATTTGCCTTTGTTTGCACAAACTGCTTAAATGACACACTGTATTTCCAGTGAGTAGAATTTCCCTGCTGCTTTACATAAGAAAGATGTTTGAGATTTGACAGATATTAGCCAATATTTAGGAGAACGTAGAGCCAATAAACTATTCATAATTTACATAGAGTGAGGAAGGGGTGGCCTAAGTGTAAATTAGAGAAAGAGACAATCTAACCTTCTAACTTTATTCATTCATATATATTGTAAAGAGTATTTACTAGTTTTCGGAGGATAGCCAGAGATCTAGCAAGCAAGTCCTGCAGGCGGCCCCCACGGCTTCATGGACTTGCTCAGCCCGCCCGGGCTCTTTTTTAGAGTTTCTGAACAAAGTGCTGGCTGTAGCATACCACATCAGTTATATCCGTTACTTGAGATATATTTTCAATGCCTGTTACTCTTATTTTATATTTTATTTCTGAAAAATAGCACTAAAGTCAAAGGGCAAAACCGATGTAAAACACTGAGGGCTTTCTGGAAATCTTTCACTGAAACAATCTCTATTTTAATAGCATAGTTGGCATTCTGTGTTTGATTGTCACAAGCCTACTTTTAAAGTTTAATTTCTGTAAATCTACTGGTATCATTAGAGCGGATTTTTGCTCAATTTACAAGAGACAAAAGCAGATACGAGCTAGCAAACCTCCAAACCCAAGGCATAACAGGCTCGATTTTCCCGACAATCATTAGGACATAAAACACCGGCCACTGAACTGAAGGTAATGGGGCAAATTCAGAGGAGATTAGGTGCACTGCACTCATTCAGCAATTCTCAAATTTGAAAGCAAAGCCTCAAAAGAGCCAGACACAACCTGATTTTTGTTACCTGCTCACAGCTCCGCAGTGACATTCCCAGTGACGTTTACAGATGATAAGTTTGTTCTCTTTGAGACAGGCAGAACATTTGCTTTGCTCTTGTGCTACCACAGGCAATATCCAAGGGCACAGCAAGTGGAAAGTTATGGAATCCACTCCATGCAGCGAACCTGAAGCTGTTAATTACAGTGCCAGGAATGTCAGGAACGCAGGCTAAAGCAGCCTAAAAGTTACCAGTGGCTCAGTCAGGTGACTGGAATGAACTTAAATGCAGGGGCCTTATCTTTCAATGAAACGCTCTGTTTCCTAGGACAAAATACAAAGCCTACTCCACTTGAGTACAGTTGTTTTTAATAGAGAAAACAGAACTCTCTGTGTTCATGGAAAGCTATCCTTCCTCGGGAAGAATGCAAGAAAGAAAAAAGAAAAACCCTCTGTAAGCTCTGTTGGAGAGGAGAACAAGCGAGCAAACCTAGCACAGGACACATTCTCCATCCAAAAGAATAAATGCGATCATTTTGCAGCACTTTACAAGAGAGGCTCTGAAATTAACTTTGGCTTCTCCCAGCCCCTTTCATAACCAGCACTCCGAAACCCACACAGGAAGGCCCCTTTGCGGGGCTGCTCCCCGGCTTTGGGGGACGCTCTGCTCAGCGCCCTCCTGCACAAGGAGGGCTCCTCAGACAGGCCCCTCTCTATCTTATGAGCAGATCCTTTCAATGCAATTTTTATAGACAACATTAGGGACAATACTGAAAAACATTTACTTACCATAAGCTCTTTGAAATGGAATTATTGCAAATCTTCTTAATACTTACATTACATAACAGTGCTGAAAAGATTTATCTCATATAGCTCTTCTGAGGAAGAAATTGTCCTTTAAGGATCTCCTCCTTGCTTACTACAGTCTCATTCTGTTTCCTACTAACAGGCAGCTGGTACTAAGGAGAACCATAATATATATCTTGTAAAAAGTTTCTTTTAACTCTTCTCTCCTCTGTCACTCCACAATAGGGTCAAGCTGGACAATAAAATTGCTTCAGAGTAATTGTCCTGAAGTGCCTCATCACTTTGATTTCACATCACCTACCGGCGTCCTCTTGTTCGGACAGGATGGAGATAACTGAATCCACCAGATCAGACCTACACGTGGGTCGCACACAGGCCATCAACAGAAAGGAGGCAGAAGGTCTCGGCAGCAGCTTAGCTCCCGCCTGGCACCACGTGGCCGCGGCGCTCGTGGGATGGAGCAGGAGGGATCCACATGGGCCGAACGTGCAAACAAAGCGGCCGCTCTGACCCTTTTCACCAATTCCCAGCTGCAGTCATGCAGACCCAGTGTATAACGCAGACCATCCTCGCTGATTCCTGATGTGTTGCCACATCTAATTCAAAGCTCAGGTTCTGCTTTTCAGCACCTGGTTTCCCATTTCATGGAAAACAGCAGGAGTTCTTCCTTCCCTGGAATGTGGGAGCTGCTGCCCTCCAAGACAAGTCTCTCGCAGCGCTCCTACCAAAGCTCCTTATCAGGAGCAATCAGAATAAAAGCTAGCCTGACAGGTTTCAGAGCTTGGAGCAGCTGAATTGGCCTGTTTGCAAAATAAGTACTCCGGTAATAGGAGAGAAACAATAAAAATTCCATGTAAAAGGGCACGTGGACCTAGGGCCATCCAAGAGCTAGTTCAACTCTGAGCGAAGAAGCCCAGTCCTATGGTTTTAGCAAGGACTTTGATTCTGCTGAAATTTCAATCCTTTGAAATTAAGAAGGTGAGAGATCAAAAAAGTTAAATTGATATTGAAGCAAATTGTGCAAGGAATTAGAATCACCTCCTTAATTTTCAAAGGATTCATGCTAGATGTATGGTTAGCAGGCTTTACCCAGATGGTGCTATCCCACTGAAACTTTGGGAAAGCTCTCAAGACCACCAGTGCCACAATATTGTTAATTTAGCTGTAACGTAACTATGAGAATACGCTCAGAACAAACGTCAGAAATTTAAGAAGTGCAGACCATCTGCATTTAGCGGTAAATGAATTTTACAGTATATCCCACATAACTTACTGCAAAGTAAGAGCCACCTAAATGTTATTATACCGTTGAACTAAGCTTATAAGGGAATTAAGATAATACTGCACACCAATTTACAGCCTTATTCTGGAGGAGCTTAAATCCGCAGAACCAAGCTCTGAGCTAATGCACCCCCTTGCCAAAACCCAAGTACCAGGAGCGCCACGAGCACCATTCCCTGCAGCTTGCAGCCTGCATCCAGAGACAACAGGCAGCCGAGCGCAACCCATCAGCTCGCTTGGGCTCCCCGGATGCGTCCAAAGCAGTGAGATTCCCGTGTTCCCAGGAGGCGCCCGGCTCTGCTGCTCCAGCCGCTCGGCTCCTCGCAAGCCCCTGTCCTGGGCAGCCACAGGCCCCGCACCGGGCACGAGCTCCACGCTGCCGCAGCACCTTCCAATCACTCCTCCTAGTTCTTTACGCAGGGACCAAAGTGCCCCATGAGCCAATAATTCTTTGATAAGCAAAAGGAAACTTCTGTTTTGTGAAAACAGAGCAAAAAAGCACCCCAACCACCTCAGAAAACTATATAGATTTGGTTCTAAGTCTTGAAGTAAATGACACAGGAGAAGAAGATGTCCCAGAGAATTCCATTTAAATAAAGGGACTTGCATTAAAGGAGCGGGAGGCTGGCAGCCTTGCTCTGCTGGTGATCTTGGTCAAATCACAGTCTTGATGTTTTGATTATTCTATCTATAAAAAGGAAAAAAAAAATCAATTTCCTTACCTCACGGACATGCTGCCATGCTTAACGTGCTGGATTGTATGAAGTGCTTTGGATGCCTTGGATGAAAGAAGCTATGGGAAAGCAAAACAGTGTCAGAATTCTTTGCCTTTTCAGCACTCTGTATGCAGACTATAAAATACATGCTGCATGATAGAGCCTGGAATCAGACTGTGCATTTCACCATACAGACTTTAATATTTAGGACATGGTCCTATGAAAAAGCAAACAGGAGAGCAGCTCTATTAACTCCCTGCGGGAGTTTGTGAAGTTATTCGCACGTGCACGGATTGAACAAAGAGAGGTTTAGATTTACATTCTGTCTGGGGCAAGTGTGAATGTTTTCAACAACTTTTAAATATTTGGTTTTATTTTGCTTCCCTACAAATAGAAGGAAGACTAGGACTATCTTCAAAGCAAACTTACTGGGTGTATGAGACAGGATTCTCTTCTCTTGTTTCTCTCCTATCTTAGGAAAAAGACACGTGTTTTGCAGGGAAAGAATACTC